TCGACCGAGGGACTTTCAGGAAGCGTAGTCAGCGCCTATCTTTCCCCGGGATGTACGATATGATCGATCGCGCGTGGGCGGAGGGTGCGCGTATCCGCGATTTTTCCGCGATGCGTCATTGCGTCCGGCGAGGTTACGAGAGAATTACTTCTCGCAGGCTACTAATTCGCCGATCGAGGAAGAAATAAGGACGAAACGAAGCGGAACGTCAGCAGTTACGCGCTCTCCCTCTCGACGAAGCTCGTGCGCCGCGCTTCCTTTGTGCGGAACCCATTACGATTTGTTCCTGAAAATTTGGCTACAACGGAGAGAGAGAGAGAGAGAGAGGGGGGGGTGCACGCCATTCGTTAGTACATAGGGGTGGCATTGTGCTCCATTATTGGGGTAAAGGCGTTGGGATAACGGCTCCATTGTGGAGGACTGTGTCTCCATCGATGGGGACGATTTATATTTCGTGACATCGTAATATCCACTTATGGTCCTCGCGGATTTAGCAGTTTTACTATATTTCACGATAAGCCGCGCGATCGCTCAACATCTTAATCTCTGTCAGTTCCATAACTCATTGCGTTGCCATTTATCTGGCGGATTCGTAGGACGTAAATGTATATGTTAAGGTAGTTGATCCGTAGAGTACCGGATTTTCAATGACAAATCTAAAAGGCTCTGAGTTTATTTACCGAGAAAAAAAAATATTTTCCTATAACTACTTAATTACCTATAAATAAACGTTAAGTCTGTAATAAGTGTATAAATATGCAGCTAAAATTTTAAAAGGATTCCTCAGAAAATGGTTCGACGGACCAGTATTACCTTACGGTCTACATTCGGGAAGGCACGCACGTATACGTTGCAATTTGATTTGCAAAATGTCGTCGAATTTTCATTCGTTGTTACGAAATAATGAGATCAAGATCGGGTTTGTGTGATTAACGTACAACAGCTCTCAAAGAGCACAGCGTCTGCGAGATGTTAGTCCGACACGGTCGTGTTAACCGAGTTTCGTATCGGACTCCGTTACTGGGCGAGTGTTAAAAATCACGCGACCGAAGCCGCCGTGCGGGACTCTCACGGAGGTGACAATATTGTGTCATCGGCGTTTCCGACTTGTAACATGTCACCGCAACCGGCGGTGAGATGCACGCGCAAGCGAGCAGCAGCTGGCGCAAGCGTGGTGAGCATCGGTGCATGCAGCAGCAACTCGAAGTGCAATGCACCGTGAATAGGCTGCCTAGAAACAAATGCCATTATACGGCGACAGTGATATACCTATAACGCGCGCGCTTCGTGGTTCCGACTTGGCTCTCTCTCTTTCTCTCTCTCTCTCTCTCTCGCTCGCATTGACGCGCGCAAAAAGAAATACCCCCGCCGCAGAGAGTCGACTTACGTTTTCCACGTTACCCCCTCGTCGTTCAATTAGCGCTCGACACGTAACTGTCCGATCGTCGACTTTTATTCGCGCCGCAACTCGGCGACTCCGACGCGTACGGCCGTCCTCTGGATAGAAAATTACACGATTTTCAACCTTGTACGTAAGTTGCGCTCTTTTTAGCCGAATCAGTGAAAATGTCACCGAGTAAAACAGTATTGTATCGATCATCAGTGAGTATTCGTTATATTTTTAGTTGGAAACACCCGCCACAATTTTGTTCTTATGTGTATATATTTAGTCCTATAATAGACGTATGCACTAAGCCTTTGGTTTTTTTACTCTAAGTACTAAATTGTAACGTAGTTTCTAGCAAAAAGCGTTTCCAGCATTACCAGACGTCGCCAATTCCCAAGGTTTAAGCGTTACTTTGCGACTTTTGGGAAACGCCTTTTACCAGAAATTACACATAGCAATTTACAACTTTATTGCTTCGAGCAAAAGTCTAAAATCTCGCTGCACCTATTGTGGACCCCGACTTAAGGTTGAAAATTGTATAATTTTCAATCTAGGGAGTGGTACGGCATATATGACGCCGACTGTACGTCGGGAAACGAGCCGTTAGAAAGCGGTTTTTGCGTGATGACGATCGCCGCGTCAATGAAACTTTTTCTTAATGAGAAGGACGCGGTGAAGTTCGAAGGGCGGTTGGGGAGCTGCATCATCGCGTTCTCGGAATTTTCACCCGCAATCGGAACGTGAAACGGGCCAATAAGTCGCATCGATATCTATGAACGAAGTGAGGGCAGAAATAAACGACGAAATGCCAGAGATACGCGGTCGATACCTGTCGCGAGGCGGCCTGCTTATATCCCGAGTGCATAGCGCTTAATCCAATTTCAGACTGCTGATAGGAGTTACCGACTCTTGGAGCACGCGCTATCTCTCTCTCTCTCTCTCTCTCTTTCTCGATTCAACCTTACATTACATTCACGCGAGGTGTCGGAACGAGGAGAAACGCTTAAAAGATCATTAGATATACGGGTCACGAGCCACTTTATACATAGTAAGCGGATTCTGTGCGTCGATGTGAGGGACCGTGATAATGCATTTACCTGTTTATTTTCTCGTCTTTATCGCGATCAAGCTGTCCGTCGGTATTCCCAATTACCTCGTAAGGATTTTGCTCTTTCAGTCGAGATATATGATGTCGCGCACATGCTTACACGTGACAGAAAGCCGCTTGTTAATATTAATTCGAACGTCCGGAAAAAGGTTTATAGTGACAAGAGGTAATAGAATATTCTATCCCCTTACTTCTGAGGAAAATGACAAAAGTTTATCAAATATTAAGAGAAAGTAAGATATACCTTATTAACTAAAATAAACGGATCTGAACCGGTCCTTTCTCGCTTGCTGTTAAGAGAGGAAAAAATTGAATGCCTCACAGTGAAATGTCTGTTACAAGAATATCGAGCCAAAATCGACGGGGGGAAACGCATAATAAGATGAAGTTTGCGATTCACTCGGCATTCTCTCCGAGTATATCCCGAATATTTACCCCGAAAAATCCAGGAGACAGCGTGGCGTTCGAATCGATTCTCCCCCTGGACCTTCCTTTTCGACAAGCGCACAAAGGACGACCTCACCTAACATTGTCACGACCGGCAGATGCGATACGCATCACGGTCGTCAGCTGCTCGCTTGCTCCCCTGCCTTCCCGCTCTCTCCACGCACTTACGCACGCACGCAACGGGCGGCAGCGAGCCACGTGGTCGTTTAAATGCGCGCTGACGCGCGCCAACAAGCGGCGAGAGCTTAGCTGCTTAGCGCTTCGCCACTCCGCGCCAGTTTTTCGCGGCCGTTCCTTCGGTACAGCGCGCGTTTCCGCTTTTGCGAGTCGCGTAGGCTTGCCGCCACAGCACACCGTTATTCTCTCCTGACGACCGCGCGCGCGTGTCTTATTTTTCTTCGCTCGCGAGGTTAATTAAAGCCACGACGACGACTTATGCTTTTTCCTCCTTACCAGTCTCGTTATTCCGTGAATAAGATCGACCGGGGACTATCGTGCGCCCCTTCGCCGATGATACATGTTCTCGTTGAACTCAGCATCTTTATGAGGTCAGTGCTCCTTTTGAGATACGTGCTCGTAAAAGCGACAAGAAGTTGCGATCTGCGTCGGGTATTTCCTCGGGAGGAACATACGCTCGTATTAAATTGCTGCAAAAGATTCGTCGTGTTCGTCGAGTAAAGTAAGAAAACGAGGTCACCAAAAATTCCGATTTCGAGGGATTGATAATTTTTGCACGGAAGAAAGTGCCAAATTCAAATAATTATTTCGATAGCAAATTTTTACTCGGATTAAATAATTTCACTTCAATAATTTACTTGGTAAATACATTACTTGATCCAAGTGAAAACTTGCTAAGGAATATCGGAATATTGGAGTAATTTACTAGAATTTGGTTTTTTTTTTTTTTTCATACATCTAACGAGGACTTTTCATTCTCCTTTTAATACCTCTAAATTTCCTGCGTGAATTTAATAGAAAAATGACAAGTCCATCGCGTCAACCTGATGTTACGTGTGTTATAGCACATAGATTGTCTGTGACGTAAGAGCAGAATGTACATTACCAGCTTCGGTAATGTCAAGCGACAAAGGTACTTTCTCACACAGGCTTACCGGCTTATCCGCGTTTCTTTCGGCCGAACGCGCATAACGGAAACGAATATACCAGGCGAGAATCCTTGGACGGGACAATGCCTGGTTGTCGTCCGACGGCAGGAACGTTGTGTTTGTTCTTTGTTTTCCCGACTGCACGCGTCTTTCGTACGGTTCATTATCCACTGTTCGATGCGTGCTGTCGCGTGTACTTTCACGACTCGTCGCGACGAGATTCCCGAACCGATGCGCGCGCTGATATTTCCTTCGACGCTGCACCTGCGCTCAATCGCGCACGAAAGTCGCGTCGATATACGTATAAATCTCGCTTATCAGATCGATTCGGGTGCGCGCAGGTGATCGTAAGTTTCGCGCGATTCGCATCGAATCGCAACGCACGGACACCCCGGCTGGCCCTTCTCACCCGGCCTGTTTCTTTCTCTCTCTCTCTCTCTCGCTCGCTCGCTCGTTCGTCATGACGAGAGGTGAGTCCGCGCAGGATCGACCAGTTATCCTCGCGGGTCCGATGTATCTGTTACGGTGAAAGTCGCTCCCGCTTCTCTCGGCGCGCAGCGAGTCGCAATTCACCCGCACACATCGCGAAACGGATGATCTTATCCGCGGCGAAACCGTTGCAAATCGGACGCACGTAACGCTTGTAACTGCATCGAATTATATCGAGCGCGCTCGTACGCGAATTTTACCGCGGCTCACTCTTACTCTCTCGATTCCCCCTCGCGCGTATCAATTTTACCACTCCGGCACGCTCCGGGATGGACTGAACTTGTTCTATTACATCGGAGAAAGAAGTGTTTATTTATTTATACGATGTAATATATTGTCGCAACGCCAACCAATAATGAGTTGTTAAAATCATCCGTTTTCGATTCAGATATATCTCGTATAAGAAAATATATAATTAAAAATTATTCAAGTATTCTAATCCGCTGTCTTGTTCTCGTTGCAGGTCAGTGTAGCTGGATACCACCTGGTAGCCAGGAGGCGAGTGAGATAAAGACAGGTGGCACGGGAAGGTAGAGCCAGCAACGGTAAGAAACGACCAGCAGCATGGGAGCGCGACAGAGCAAGAGGTCCGTGGATATAACGACGACGCCGAAAAAGGAGGGCTTACCCGCCGAAGGAGGCGTCGTCGGCGACGCGGCCGCACCTGGCGACGGCAAGCTCGAGAGGATCGAGGAGGCCGACACGAAGCCTACCACCAACGGCATAGCGCCGCATACGGAGGCAGTCGAGGATAAAGAGAAGGACAAAGATGAGGCCACCGAGAAGGAGAAGGAACCGGTGAGTTATCCTCGATTCTACTTTCCATCGCGCCGATGCGCGTCCGACAATTCATCCGAAATATCCAACTCGGAGGACGAGTGATTTCGAGTTTATTCGTGCGCGAAGTATGCTTCTGGATGCGCTTTGTGGTTTAAAATTAATTAATACGAAGGTACTCTTTGGATTGTAGGCATTTTTAAGGATCGTGGAAAATGCACCGAGAGGTATCACGCGTTTTTACGCAGTAAAAAAATGTTAGAAATTAATAGAAAAATTTTTACAAAGAACGTTTTTTTTTTCTTTTTGACACAAGTACGCGAAGTTTTTTTATTGCGTAAACAAGCGCTTTTTCGATATTTTGTTTTGGGAATTCATATCGACAAGTGAATTTTTCTCGTCGAATTTGAACTCTTGTTTGTGCATCCATGTGTCTCACGTCAAGTTAAGATCGTGTTGGATGCAGGGTCAACTGTTTGCACAGGTGATTATCTTGACTTCGATTCGAGCGATATAATCATGTTTGCGTTCGAAGAGGAGCAAGCTCTGCTTACATCGCTGATTTTTCAGTACTCGGTCGAGTGCGTTTAATACTTCATTAAAACCCGCTCCTCCGTAATTAACGAGCGAGTTAGCGCAGAAGAGATCGTATTGTCGACTCGAATATCCGGCTTCGATGTTTACACATAGTTCTCTTCCTATCGCTGAAAAGCCGGCTTGCAATATACTCGTTCCTTGATTGCGCGCTATCTCGATCGTGTCACGCGTGGAATTATTTTTCTCGGGTACGAGGCAAACTCTTGGCCGCTTTCAACGCCACGCTCACCGACGCGCGGCGCACCGCACTTCGCGGAATGACATTCTCGAATTGCATGACGGTGAATCACTCGTTCAATTATCGAGCAGTTTTTCAATGATCTCGCTCGGATTACGCGGACGGAGCTACAATGGGCACGTGTGCTGAATCACGCGTTCGTTCGCAAAACTCACAAACACTTCGGAGTGTGGAGTCTCATCGAGGCGATTCGTCCGGCGAACGCACGTCGGCGACTCATCAATCTTAATCGATTTGTCAAAACGGCGACATTTTACCTTTCCCAGCCATAGAGACATTCTTTGCCATATTAGCGCTGTTTGTCGGTGACTTTATCATTAAAAAAACATTGCATGAGGTCACAACAACGACAAATCGGGAAACATATATCTCCTAAAATATGTAGAAAGATACAGCAGATAGCCGAGTATCGGCTGTTATCGTCATATCGCGCGAGATATTTCTCGATTACTCGAAACGTCAATTAATATTGTTCTATTACAGAATACAGTTTTCCACATAATCGACGTCGGATTGCGTTTGACGGGGAAGCGCACTCGAACGTTGGTTTGAAAATTACCTGGAGAGAAATCAGTCTAATGAAAATCGTTTCAACCGCAATTAGCACGCAGTGAAAAAAAACAGTTTGTGCTTGTGTTAAAATCGATCCTTGTTAAAATTTTCGTATTAACTTCTTAACATACTCGTATATTAATTTAACACGTTATGTTTATGTTATCTCAATACTTCGGTTTTATTCACCTTGTGTTAAATTAATACAAAAATTCGAGCGGACTGTTTGGGACGCGAAAAGTATGTTAAACCCAACATGAAATTTCACGTGAAATGTGTTAAATTTTTTACCGTGTAGGTCGCAGCGATCACACGTTCAGACTCGCTCTATTTTTCACTTCCTCTTCTGATTAATTCCTCGTACTCGCGAAGAATTACTTAACCGTCAGCGTTAACGAGAAGAGAGCGCGCGGCATGAAGCGGCCGCTTTACGCGGCACGCGAACGCGTTAAGTGACTCACTCGCGACATCCGGGGTTGACTATTCTGAGCGTGACCTAGGCGAAATGTTACCTCGCCGACCGCTGAGAGCGAGCCGCCCTCGATAACGATCGATTTCCCGTTCGCATGGAGAGACAGTGCGGATGAAATCGAAAATTAGCGTTAAACCGCCCGATTATTACCGCCGCTATTTTACCTTTCCATGATTAGTACGTTCCGATCGCTCAATGATCACTCAGCGCGCGATTAGATAGCCGATAATCATCGTGTTACGTAAGACATGACATAAATGGAAAGCCTGGACGCGCTTATCGACGCGAACGATTAATCGCGCATTACGTGTCAACGGATTAACGGCTACAGCTGCCTTTCGTATCAACGAGGCGAAATAATGAAAGCGCGTTAATTTCTGTTCACGTTCAAGATCGCATTTGACGCGATCTGCAAACCATCTTACCATCCATCAAGCCGGTTCTTTTTGGTTGCGCATCGATCTTATTGCGATTAGATTATCTCGGTGTTGCGCGCTCACGACGTCTATGCGATTTACCGTTCCGGCAGTTCGAGTTTCGTGAAACCGCGTTTTCGAAAGTACGCGTCAAATTCCCTGTGTAACAAGCCGGATAGACTTGCCTGATTATCGTGACACGAGATGATCGATGACGGAAATTTTACGATCTTTTTAATCACGTTTGTGAGAAACAAATTTATTATATTGAATCAATTATTAATTTTGCGCCGTATAACTACGTAAAATTTTTGTTATATGATGGAGAAATAAATGTATTGAAAGCTCTATTCAGATATCACGTTTTATGTGATATATTATTCCGAGCAAATTTGGATAACTTTTTCCGTAATTCTATTTCATCATTCTGCGTGTGATAAATACACGGAAAAACCCGGTTCCTCCGACAGAATAGGGATCAGATGAAAACTCGATGACGAAAAATGAAAGCTCGACGACAAAAAGTGGTAAACTCGGTTACCGCGAATGAGAACATTCGTGCGGACATCCAGTTTCATTAAAGCTCGATCGAGACGACTGAAAATAATTGACTGAGTAGAAAATCTTCCTACAGGATTCTTTCTGTTCTTACAACTGAACTCTCGTCCCCAGGTAACCAGGAAAATTCTGTTATACCGATTGGAATTGTGTTTTCCAGGCATGAGAGATAAGAGATAAGAATAATAAGACAAACATGGATGACAAATATAAATATATAAATGTCAATCACTCACAAGGGATGATGCAGTCTTCACAAATCGACCGGTGAAATCGCTGCCAAATTCTTACCAGCCTGTCTGTGAAACTTTCCGTACCGATTTATAAAACTGTGTACTCGCCGAAGTATGGAATCGTGCGATCCGGTCCAGCGCGCGCGCGCGATTTCCAGTGCATTCTCCAACTTTTCCGACTTTCGATTATCCGCGATTCCTCTCGGCGGACTCTTGTCGGCGAGTACGTTTCATAGCGTGTCAATTTCGCACTCGCCCAAGTCAAGTTTCATAAGCGCGGGGTTTATATACGGTTCGAAATACCTCGCCATTTAGATGAAACTCGATATTTCCCCGATTGAGCAAGAATCAAGCGGCGGCAGCTGTCACGCACTAGATACGACGACAGACGCGAGAGAGAGAGAGAAAGAGAAAGAGAGAAAAAAGAGCACTTTACCACCCTTCCGTTGTTTCCTTTCATTTCCCTTCGACAAGTCGTTTCTGTTCCTCCATCCTTCCCTCCTTGATTCTCTCCGTCGGTTTAAGGCGTCATTTACTTCGAGCACTCGAGCGAATGTTTCTCCCTCACGTCGTCTTGAGAAGTCTTTGACTCGAGAGTAACGTAGGAAACTCGTTCTGAGACGATCACCAAGATCTCTCTCTCTCTCCTCTCTCTCTCTCTCTCTCTCTCTTCCAATCAATGATTTCATTTGTAACGTTGCAGCGGTGATGTGTTCTCCGCCGGCGTATCGTCTCGATAGACTTTCTTTCTTTTTTCTTTTTTTAACAAGTAATCGATCTCAGATCCCCTCGAGGATAAAGCTCCGCTGACTACATACACGCGGCCCAAGCAAAGACGCGCGTCGAGATCGCGCGGAAAATCAGGTTGATACGCTGCGTTGAGCCGCGTTTCCCCCGTTATCGCGTCCGTCGGCCCCGGGAATCTATGTCTGTCGTGCGTATCGGCACGATCATTTCCCGACGACGAGCGCTTCCATTATTGGCCAGATAATTGAAACCGCATCGCGCGGCCTGTCGATTCGCGCGTTATCCGCGACTCCTCCCGAGAGAGAGAGAGAGAGAGAGAGTGTGTGTGGCTGTCGATCCGTATGTTGCGATCGTTCGATAAGACGGTGGACCGGAGTGGCACGACGACAGGGACGTGCGCGCTCGTCTGCTCGGAGAAATCGCTCGCGGCGTACGTTGGATTTTTGACAAAAAACGAGAGGATACCGTTTGACTGACTTCGCCGCCTCGCTCGCGCCTCACTCGGGACCGACTCGTTCTCGCGACTAACTGTAACCGCGTGTCTCGCGCATCATCGGCTTCTTCACCGGCGGACATACCTAACTGTCCCAGACGAATAAATCTCCTCCGTCTTCCCCCTCCCCCCCCCCTTTCCTCGCGTTACTATTTCANATGTATTTGCAGGCGACGTGCTGCCGGCCGATATCCGACGATCGTCGATGCGGTTTCGCGCTCGCGTCGTCCTCGCCGTGGCGTCGCAGCTTCTTGTTCCGCGAGTTTTTGCGAGCCGGTCGGAGCGAAGTTCCGCGCGAGAAGATCGGACGGTGTCGCAGAAGTGAGAACCCCACGCCGCCGGGTTCAATATTCTCTCGTCTCCGCGAGAAGTCCGCCTCTTTTTCGGTGTCTTTGTCACTTACCACCGGCTGTTCCAACTCGCCTTTGAATGTCGAATGTGTCGGTCCCCATTAGCATAATTATGCCGAGCGTGTCGCCGTTTACCTCGATTTACCGAGTCGCCAGTACCAATATCGGGCTCCCATCGGTCGTCAAATCGGACGCTTTCTTCGTATGATGCGCGTCCGCGTGTTGCCCTCCCCCCCCCCCCCCCNNNNCCCCCCGATTCTCGCGATCGGCTCTCGGGCGAATCTCTCGTGTTCGATCGAACGTTGCATTTGTTCGACATCCGAGATTATAGCCGCGTCTCATGAATATTCAACCGCTCCCGCACG